CCATTGAAGATCTTTGTACACTGCAATGGTGAACGGGCCATGAATGAGTACATAAACTTTCAACTTTGGAGTGTACTAGTTCACCTCTCAAGTCTAAAGAAGGGCATTGTAATCAAACTTGTAAATGAGCCTGAAATCGAGCTCGACTCATTTATCACTAATAACGAGCCGATTTCGAACCTTAACGAGTGAATCTCGAAATTTAACGAGCCGAACTATTAAAAATTATATAAAAATTATCTTTTCCAGCCTTAACGAGCCGAGCTCGTTGACCAAGCGAGCTTTAAATGAACCGGAGCTCAGCTCGTTTACCAAACGAGTCGAGCCGAACTCGAGTCTTAACAAACCGGACTCGAGTCGAGCCGTGCCAGACTCGTTTAATTTAACAGCACTAATTTAATTGTAATGGAGATGTAATGGAGAGGGATTATCGTCATCCAACATCAACAAAATAAAATAAAACGTTCAACATCACAAAATGAATCTAAACATATCCCAGTACAAGTCACAAAATAAATCTAAACATATCCTTCCCAGTACAAGTAGGTAGGGTTGGAAAGAACAATCACACTGGACTGCAACCAGGGTACGGGTGTTCAGAGTGACTGGACATACCAATATAGAATTCCTCCTCGTCCAACCAGTCAATGGTGAACCATTTTATCGTACTTGGGCGGCGGAAAGATAGGAGGCCTACCTTGTAAAGATCTTTATCACGATCTATCTGCAAGGAGTATAAAAAATAGTGAAGATGGACATACAAATATTACATACTGCACCATAGTTGCCACAGAGAGACGGAGATAAGTGAGTGTGTCTCGCTTACCACTTCACACATACTCTGAAGTTTATCACCATCGAACCTAGTCGCCAATGCTTCTTTAAGGCCCTACATATTTTTATTAGATGTAACCATAAATATTCGTATCACAATTCCAAAACAAAAAGGTTCCTAAACGTAAAAAATACGTGGCGCAAAAATGATGCTTGGGGTTTTGTACCTCGATAGAGGGTGGAACACCAACATTAATAATTCTAGTCACCCGTGGAATTTCCCTGGCTGCATCATTTCCATTAATCGCTTCACGCAACTTGCTGCAAAACCATGGACTACTCCAGTACCCCAATATGATGCTCAACGTTTCACTTTGAGAAGAAAAAATAAAGAGAAATAAATGAGCATATCTATAAATTGACACTTGATGCTTCCATGTCATACAAAAATGCATCCGGCTATTCTATCACACAAAGAGACCCCATAGCCTTATGCTTCTGTCACTTTCTAAAACTGCAGTTGATTCATTTCTTAGTCATCAGGGAAACATAAGGCTTGTTGCACTTATACAGAGTATATATTGACTTGTATGTCCGTGTTCACACACCACGTTAATTATCTAAATCCATCCAAACTTTTTATAAACTAAACTGAATTAAATGGATTAGAAAAAGAAAAAAAACGGATCGCATCATGCACATATAATTTGAGCACGGGGGATTCGAAACCGGAACAAGTGAAGTTCTCTGATAAGTTGGCATGATATACAACAAAGAATGTTATTTTGATACACTTGAACATGCAGCTCAATCAAGAGACTTTCCCCCCCACTAGGAAGCTAAAACTCACAGGGAAATTTCATAATGCTTTGAAGTTTTAAAGTGACATCGTACGCTAAGAGAATCGGTCGAGTGTCAAAGCATTATTGCCATAGGTTTCTTGTGCCACAAAACCCAAGCACAGAACATAATTATTTGAAGCATGCAACTAGAACCATGATAAATAAAACCAACGATACAGGAAAAAATTCAATATATTCATTTTACAAATGGAAGATATCAATGATCACCTCATAAAGTCAATGGTATCTGTTTTGCGTTGCAAAACGAATCCCAATCCGGCGTCTCTCCTGAGACACTTGACTCGTTCTAGGTCACTTTTTTGCATTGAGTAAGCCTCTACGAGGGCGAGCACATCCGGATACTGATCCTTCAAATAAGAAGATGCGAGAATAAGAATGGTATATTTTATTTGAAGTACTAGGTTTGTCCCCACAAAAAAAATATTGTAACTGCACAGAATACCTCAATATGTACCCCAACAAATGCCTGGTGAAATGCTTCATCTTTTAAAAGGTTCACAATTAGCTTACCAAGATGGTCTACAAATCGATCATCTCCAATAGCAAGATTCAGCACATAGAAAATATTTTCCACTTGCGACTTCAGCCTTGAGATGTTTTCCACTATGCCAGCCATAAACTCAAGGCCAGGTTTCTGCAAAATAAGAAAGAGAGAGAGAGAGAGAGAGAGAGAGAGAGAGAGAGAGAGTTCATTTACAACAGAACAGAACACCATTGTTGTTTCTGTCTATCCTTAAACAAAACAAGATATAAATGACAAAGATTACCTGCGCCAGAGAATAAATGACAGAGAAAGATGAATAGGATTGTATACTTTCAGGCGTAAATCCAAAATCAGACAACGAAACCTTAACCATTGGGTCTGCAGTATCCACGCTCTGAAAACAGCTCATCACTTCAATCAGGAAGTGTAATAACTACTCAATAATAGCCAACCAAGAAAAGGGAACTGGACTGTAGATCCATTCATTTAAAGTAGGTTTTTTTAACACACACGCACACAGACAATAAACTGCTTAACTGCTCATTCGTGTTATTTAATGTCAGGCATACATGTACTCATCAATTAACGGCAGCGAATGGAAAGAATAACCAGTCAAAAAATAATAAGATATACATCATATATGTGAATTAATCAAGTTGAATCCTACCCCTTTCGACGTTTTCATCTTGACAGCAGCTAATGACTCGGAACTTGCTGCCCTCTTAATTCCAAGAAAGAGTGAAGGATCAGAACATATCTCTGGAGTTAAATCTTCCTGGAAACCCATGTCGTTTGAAAAATCAACCCGATAGCAAAATAAGATAACACAGAACTCTACCTTCAGTAGGATGAGCAAATCGTTACCAAACAGGTGATTGTTAGAGACGAGCGTGAAACCTTAAATCCGAAACGGGGGCAATTATGTATACCCAAAACTGTTTGGAAGGTTAAAAGTAGATTATGTTTCTCGATTGGGCCGAAGCTGATTCCACACACGATTTTAGGTTTCTCGATTGGGTTTCTTTATCGTTAATTTTCCCTCCTTTTTTCTGTTTTTCGGTTGAAGAAATTTTCACATCTTTCCCCCCTTTTTCTCTCTTTTTTTGGTTGAAGATTTTTTCCAAAAAAAATCAATTCCTCCCATAAACTAGTATGAATCTCGTGCGATGCGATTTTGTACCTTAAAACTTTTTCAAAATTTAATTTTAACAATATATTAGTCTGATGACCCGTTTATACAAATATAAATAATATTTTAATAAACCCAATAAAATATGCAGTTAATTCTTTCTTTAAATATTTGAATTTTAATATTTATAACACTTATAAAAATAATTTTTTTATATGCATAATGATTAATATTTAGTGTATAATAATGTTATTTATTTACTGGATCGCTTCCGGATTGACGAATTCAAGGTTTGCGACTTCTTAATCGTCTTGGTAGTGGCGGTTGTACTAGGCAACGAGAAATACGAATGGAATAATGTTCATAAGAGATTATANAGTGATAGCATTTATATGATCGCCGATTGGTACCATAATTTAGGCTATGTTTGGTAAGTCAATAAGCTAGCTTATAGCTTATTTAGTTAGCCTATAAGCTTCCTGTATTAAAATAAGTCTTGTTTGGTAGAACGAGCTCTTTTAAAAACCTCAAGCTTATCTCATAAGCTACTTTAAGTAGTTTTTCAAATAAGTTAGTTGAATTTTTTATTTCAGTTAGCTTATCACCTAATTTTACCAAACAATTTTATCATATAAGCTAGCTTTTTAGCTATAAGTCATAAGTTATAAGCTATAAGCTCAAAAATTACATATAAGCTATAACCTAGCTTATCAGTTATCAGGTAACTTATCAGTTAGTTTTACCAAACATAGCCTTAGTTATAATTAGTGCTAATGACAAATATTAGTTTTTACAAGTTCGGTGCATCATCATCTAAATATTAGCAACCTAAATCTGTAGATGTTGTTTTGATTGATATTAAGTAGTACATCATAAATCTGTAGTTGATTTTTTGAATGCTTATGGGCGAGATTGTATATAATTTGTACAGTACATATCCTACTCAAAACTCAAATTAACTCAACTTTAACTCAACTCCACTATCTCCAATATTATCAATATAATTAAATAATATCAACCAATCATTATTATAAATCACATCAACTTTAATTCACTATTCACTCACTCACATAATTTTAACTAACCATCACTTCCAATTATTTTCTCCTACTTTTACATCAAATCAACTTTAATTATTTTAATTTAAATATTATTTTAATATATCCACTAACAACTAACTGACATGCGTCATATTTACGTGCATTTTATAGTGATTTTCGTGTCCGTTTCGTCGTAGTTTGATATATAATTAATTATTGTTTAATTAATTATTATATAATTAATTATGTATTTAATTAATTATATTAAGCTATGATGAGGTGTTTTATTTGAGTTTTGACAAAAAATGGAGTCGATATAATTTTGGAGTCGAAAACGGCGTGTAGTGGATAGAAATAGTGTGCGAGCCATGCATTTGTTCATGCCCAATTGCACAACCCACAAGAATGTCATGACAGCCCATTATTTGATCTTTTGGGCCGAGAAATACCAGCCCAATGATGTCCATATAATCAGCCCAAAGAAGCCATTAAGTAAGGGCACAATGGTCTTTTAAAGCAAGACATCATCTTCCTCAATCATTCACGTAACATTGCCTCGTCCGCCATGAACTGAGCTGCCGCTACACCATCACCGAGCCACCACGCGACTACCCAGCCACCGAAGAACCCATTTCCGACGCCCTGAACATCTATCCTTCCGCCGGCGCCATCCTGTCACCGAGGAGGAGAAGCTTCTGTCGCCGGGCTGAGGAAGAGCTGGCCGGACTTCGCCATGTCCGATGACCTGGGCGCTGCAAGATCACCAGAAGTCGCCTGAGACGCCGAAAAACCGACCAAGAGCATTTAGACGAGCTGAAAGTGACGATTTGGAGCTGTTTTAGGCTCCCAGGTACACACGGGTCGTGTGAGCCCGAGACACGGCTCGTGTCGCTCTGACGGGTCGTGAAACCTGCTCTCGACTTTTTCACACGACTCGTGTGTCCTATGACACGAGTTTGACGCATTTTTCCTATTTTTTCGGTATTTTCGACCTATTTGGACTAGGACTCGACCCCGATTATAGGGTTAGACACGTTTTTTAGGAGTCTTGGACATAATTTCCAGATCTTTGGAGACCTTTGGAGGCTAGAAACACGAGCAAGACGAGGGAGAAAGCCGGGAAGAAATGATTGACGGAGCCGAATAAGCTTTTTCTTTCTTTTTCTTTTCCTCTTTCGAACTCAATATTTTATATTTATTTTCTCTATTTTGAAAGCATGTTTCTAGGCTAGATTTATCTTAGATTCTAGGATTTGTTAGTACTCGGATTAATTTATGATTTAGCTTTTATTTCATTCATTCCGGTTTATCTTTCGTTTATAAATTTCTTGTGCTTATTATTTATTGTGTGAGTAGACGGCCGCTATGAATGCATATTTGTAATCGATGTGAGACCGAGATGAGATAATTGGTTGCTAGAATTGGGAGATTTATAACGTAAGAGAATAAACAGACCGAGAGGTTGATAGGACCTTGCGAGAGAACGAAAATCGTAGGGACTTATGAGAGTTAGTTGTTCATCTTGAGACCGATGAGATAGATAACAATTAATATCTACGATTTGACTTGTTCGAGAGAAAGGTTTGAAATCAATTTAGCGATTATCTCTACTAAAATTAAATAAGATTTGTTTGAATATAAACGTTTCATGAATTAATTCCGAGGAACGCTTAGCCTAGAATCTATCTTTTGTATCTTATTTTATTTTTATTTTTTAGATAAATTACTTTTTAATTTAATTCCTAGTTTATAGTCCAATTCACTAGTCTAGATAATATTTAATCGTCATTATTTTAGTACTTAATTAATTTAACTACAATATCTGTGGAATACGACCTTGCACCGCGACTACGTATAGCTACTCCGTACACTTGGGATAGCGAAAATAATTAGCGAACACTAACCATACTACTTTTTTCAAATCTAACTATAATTAAAAAAAAAATAGTTTTTTACTAGTTGAATTCATATCCAATCACCTCCTATATGTTTAAGATATAGCATGTATATGGATGTCGATTGGGTTCTATGATTTAAAGTTGCTTATAGTGCGCCTCATTTACTTGGGTGGATGGGATTGGACACAATAATCTCATTCACCTTTACACATCAGCACATGAACCTTGTTTACAAAACATGATTATGAATTTATGATAAAGCCAATCCATATCAAGCATTTACTTGGGTGTAATACAATTATCTGATGTGACTTAAAAGACCAGTGTACCATCTTCCTCTACAACACTTTTTTTTTTCAACTTTGCCACAATATCGTCTTCAACATTTTATTGAGATAAAGTCAGAAATAGAACATCACACACAACTTTGTATTCCACAGAGTTCCGCCGGCGACGTGCGCAAAATAATACTCGTCAGGAGTGGGGTGTAAGCAGAAGGGCTACGACGGCGACGAAAATTGTTGAAGCCCTAAGATTCGGGCCATAATTTGGGGACTTCCGAAAATTGTTGAAGCCCCAAGGGTTGACAACAATTTAGAACATATATTTAATTCGGATTCAAAAAATAGGATAAATAGGGAGAAAGAAAAAATCGAAAGCGACGAACCTTGAGCTTCGGCTGCGTGAGAGGGAGAGATTGGGGTTCGACTTTTGCAGAAGACGATAATGGCAGATTCATCACTTATATGTACCTAACTGGGTAATAAAATGGACCTCAAAGGGTAATATAGACTTTTTAGGTGGGATTTTTTGGACAACTTGGTCATGTTGAAAGAAGGATTAAAAAATCCGGCCCCTTTTGCTGGGATAAATTGTCGAGCCAGCGTGCGAAATTGTCCAGCCAGCGTGCATTTTAGGGGTGGGCCCCGCAAGCCACATGTGTAATATCCCTGTCCCACTCATTTCTAGTAAATATAGGAGAATGTTGGTTAATGGGCTTTATCCCATCCAATCCCTTCAAGTAAATGGGGCCCTAATGAATAATATAAGTTTTTGTTGCATGTCGGTGCATCATCATCTAAAGTTAAGAATCCTACATCTCGAATTGTACTTTCGAAGAATTTTTATTAATCAGTTTATTCTCAGTTAATTTATATTATTAATAACAACATTTATCTCAATAATTATTAAATTAACCAATCTATATCTATAAACGGTTGGTTGGGAAATGAGAGTATTTTGGTTTCACAAAAATGTACATGATAGACAGGGTTTTAAAACTTATAACTAATATTCCGTTAATTGCAACGATTATTATATTAACTAATATATAGATAAGCTAAGCACGTGTGTTAAATATAAGTATTTGAGTGTTTTTATCTACAGATAAATAATTTCAAAAAACGTGTTGCAACTTGCAAGCATTTTAAACGGTTTAATATGAAGTTTTTGAAAAATTCAAACGATGCGGTACATTGCGAATTTTTTAAAAATATTTTACTACGCTAGTATTATATTTGGGCGGGATTTTAGATTATTTTTTAGTTATTATTATTGGATTATTTAGGTTGTCTCTTTATATATTACAAGATAAGATTGAAAAATGGAAAAGTTTAATTTTGGAAAATTTTTATATCGTATATAAATATTGGATAAAATTATAATAACTAAAATTGATGGGATAAAAATAATATTATGATGGACAATTAATAATTTGTGAGTGCTAAAATATATAATTATGATTAATTTATATTTTCTTACTTTTGTTACTGATAATTGTAAAGAAAAAAAAATGTGAGAGAAAATGAAAAAAAGTTGTGTCCAATGAAATATATTGGGCATGTTCGTATACAAATATATCCACTCAAAATGAGTCAGAATTAATTTTTTTTAAAAAATGGTATGATTAATTGTTAGTGGTATTTTGATTTTATGTTAAAAGAATATATAAAATAAACTAGTACGAATCCCATGCGATGCACGGGTAAGAGATATTCATTAATATTTATAAATAAAAAATTCTCATTATATAATATTTATAAAAAAAAAATTCTCATTAAATTATATTTATAAATTACAAACATGGAATCAATATGTAATACAATGTACCTATATTAATTTATTGAAAACATTATATAAAATTTAAATTGTGCAAAATTACATAAAAATATATATTTAAAAATAGTACACAACCCGTGTGTTGCACATAACTAATAATAAATTATATTATATTCATTTCAAACCATGTGTCATTTCAAAATTTTTATTCAGAAATTCGACATGACAATAACGTGATTCATAAAATAATTATTTTGGTAAAATTTTATTATATATTTACAAACCTATGTGAATAATAAGTATAAATATAAAACTTATATTTTTTTATTATTTATAATAAATTTATTTTTGTATAAAATATCCAAATCAAAAAATTTAAATAGTTGAGTAAAAACAACCAGTGATAAGATTTTTTATGCCAAAAAAAATAAATACTCTTTATCATGCTAAAAAAATGAATAATGCATTTCACACAAAAATTATTTGAAATGTCAATACACGCACATTATATCAAAATATCCGTTCATATGATTTTGTCGGAGTTACGGTAATTTTATTATGTTAATTTCATATGAAAAATTGAAATAAAAATTGAAACACACGCCTAAAGAACACCGTGTATTGATTATTTTCTAAACAAATTTCCCAACAAAAAACTGTCATCAAATAACCTAAATAAATTTGTTCACTTACATTGATTAATTTATTTCACAGAGAAACAACCATCAATATAAAAAATAAATTCGTCTACTTTAAACCATATATTAATTAATTCACATGATTTGAGTATTTAAGGTATCTTAAATATGACTTAATTACTTCCTTAAATAATGAGCTGCAATTTCCATAAGTGATTATTTGATATATATCATAAATTGGTCATACTTCCTTAAATAATGAGCCGCAATTTCTATAAGTGATTATTTGATATATATCATAAGTTATTAAATTAATTTCCCGAAATAGTAAATAGATTTTTTTTTTTTAAGGAAATAGTTACTATTTAAAAAATAATCAAACATTTATATATATATATATATACATATATATATATATATATTCATTAAAGTCGATTTGTTGTAAAAGTGAGAAATAGATTATTTGAAGTGATAGTTAAAATTATGTGAGTAAAAGATTAGTAAATTAAAGTTGATGTGATGTGTAAGAATAATTGATTGATATTATTTAATTACTAGTACAAATCCCGTGCGATGCACGGGTAAGAAATATTCAGTAATATTTATAAATTAAAATATTGAATCAATAAGTAATATGATCTACATATATTAATTTATTGAAAATGTTATATGAAATTTGAATTGTGCAAAATTACATAAAATATGTCTATCTAAAATTAGTACACAAACCCGTGTGATGCACGTAACCAATAATAAATTACATTATATTTATTACAAAATAAGTCACATTTTAAATTTTTTATTCAAAATTCAATTTAACTTCAATGTGATTGCATAAAATAAATATTTTGATAAAAGTTAATCATATATTTAAAAATCTATGTGAATAATAAGTATAATAAACAAACTTATATTGTTTCATTAATTAAAATGACTTTATTTTAGCATAAACTATCTAAATCAAAAATTTAAGTAGTTGGGTAATTTATTAAACTATTAATAATTGACTATTTCATTTGCATCCAAGTCAATATTGACCCGGGTCGGATTTTATTGTGTATGATATGCATTAATTAGTTAGGACAAATAGGTATCAAAATATTATTTAATAATTTTTATAGAGTACGATGATTCATAATGTGTAGTTCATAATAAAAAATATATATTAACCATTTTAATAAATTGTAAGTATCTTTCAAAAGATTTATTCACTCTTCTGTATTACATAAACGTGTTTTTTTTAATAGATACGCAAATATGAATCTATATATTTTCATTATTAAAATGTCATCAAATTTTTAATTATTTTATTGCAGGTAAATACAAACATTTTTGTATGTGTAGATATAGATATAGATATGCATAATTTTTTAATTAAATATTATGCTCTATACTCTATAAAATAATATAAAAAATTTAACATTTTTAATATTTTAGTTCGTTTAAAATATATGACAATCGACCTCCCTAACTAACTATTTACAACATAATAATTTGTGTGTTAACTAAATGAAGAGATTAAATTTTCCTTGGCTGACAACATGAATATTGGACATATTATTCGATCCAAAATTATCTAATGCCAATCTTGACTTGCTTAATTTATTAAAAAATTAACATAAATAGATCTATTAAGAAATTACCTAAATTGTATCTTTAAAACATACCATAAAATGTTAAAATAGTTTCTAGATTTAGTAAACAATATATTTTTTGCGGAAAATAGTTACTATTTAAAAAATAATCAAACTTTTTTATATAGATATAGATATTGACAATATTAAATATAATATTAAAGATAGTAGAGTTGGGTTAAATTTTGAATATAAATTGAGTAAGAATTGAGTCTTCTGGTATACAAACACCCCATTATTAATAAGGGCGTTGAAATTTTTGTGTATGTATCAATCCTCAATTAATATTCATTTTTACTAGAGCAATCCTTCATTATATATAAATAGAAAGATTTATTTAGCTATATTAATCCAAAGCTTCACGAAGTTATGTGTCAACTCCCGGTGGTTTGTAATCATGTTTTATCGCATTTTTTGGGGTTTCATATGTGTCAACTGAGGTTATGTGTCAAGTGTCAATTACCGTTTTTTTTTTTTTTTTTACACGTATGTACATCTAAAAATCAACTAGAATTAGTCAAATAGCCATAGAAACTAAATTTAGTGAGAGAGAACTATACAAGTATACCACCCAGCTCCCACCCACTGGTGCAGAATAAAAAAACATCTAAAAAGAAGAATAAGCCAAAACCAAATTGATTCTTTGTACAACTCATAAGTTGTTTCTAATAATTTGTACAAAAACCAAATTATATATAAGTACTTTCAACATATAAATCTGCTATTTATGCATCATGTTTAAACACTCATATTTGCGTAGTCAATCAATGTCGAACCATTTCATCTTATGTGTGGGATCGAAAGGTAGGATTCTCACCCCGTAATTATCATGATCTATCTGCAAGGAGAATAAAAACTAGTGAAGATGGACATACAAATATTACTGTATCAAGTAGTCCATCATAGTTTCTTACCCGTTCACACATACGCCGAAGTTGTTCACCACAGAACCTAGTCGCCAATGCTTCTTTAAGGCCCTACATATTTTATATTAGATGTCACCATAAATATTCGTATCACAATTCCAAAACAAAAAGGTTCCTAAACGTAAATAGAATACGGTGGCGCAAAAATGATGCTTTGGGGTCTTGTACCCCAATATGATGCTCAACATTTCCCTTTGAAGAGAAAGGTAAAATAAATGGTGAGTATATTTAGAAATTGACACTTGATGCTTCCACCAATGTCATACAAAAATGCATCCAGCATAATGTTTTGAAGTTTTAGAGCGACATCATAAGCAAAGAGAATTGGTAGAGTGTCAAAGCATTGCCATAGGTTTCTTGTGCCACAAAAGATTTATTTTCCCAAGCACAGAACATAATTATTTGAAGCATGCAACTAGAACCATGATAAATAAAACCCACGATACAGGAAAAAATCAATATATTCATTTTACAAATGGAAGATAACAATTATCACCTCACAAAGTAAATGGTGTCTGCTTAGCGTTGCAAAACGCGTCCCAATCTGACGTCTCTCCTGAGATACTCAACTCTTTCTTGGTCACTTTTTTCCATTGAGTAAGCCTCTAAGAGGGCAAGCACTTCCGGACATGGATACTTCAAACAAGAAGATGCGAGAATAAGAAAGATAAATTTTATTTCAAGTACTAGGTTTGTCTCCATGAGAAAAATATTGTAACAGCAAGGAATACCTGAATATGTGCCATAACAATTGCCTTGTGAAGATCTTCATCTTTTAACAGGTTCGCAATTAGCTGACCAAAGTGGTGTACACATCTATCATCTCCAACAGCAAGCTTCAGCGCAGAGAAAATATTTTCCACTTGCGACTTAAGCCCTGAGATGTTTTTCACTATGCCAGACATAATCTCAACGACATCTCTCTGCATAATAGATAAGGAAAAGATGATCGGCTGCATGGTCCGGAGTTTTATCAACACCAACAAGCAGATGAAATCATCTTAAGTGTTCCGGAGTTTCACTCATTTCCACCCAGGGCGGTAGAAGTATCATCCTCTTGGGCTGCATGGTCACCGGCAGTCGAAGTTCCATGTCCCACCTGATCGGCTGTGGGTAAAAACAGCATTGACATCACAACTGAGCAGATTATGCAAATGCTCGAGAAATACGACCCCCAGAACTGGGATTAAATTTCTCGCTGAAATAAGGAGAAACCGATCTGTTAGTACACCAAAAACGACAAAAATCTGAATTTGAAGAAACACGAAGAAGAGAAATGAGCAAAAAACTCACGAAATTTAGCAACAAAATTTTTGGGGACAGTAAAATAGTCTCCAACTTCCAAACTCTCAAACTCTCAGGTCAGCAAAACAAGAAATGACTTGCATCTACAATGCTTAATTGTTTGCATTGCAAAACTTTCATACACAACTAAAGTCAACCAAAAGGAAAAACAATAGTAGCAAAAGAAAGAAAAATGAATAAACAATCCAAGAGTCAAATTATGTGAACCTGGACCAAATATACTTATCCAACTTGGGTGACCACCCACATATTTCTACAGCCCAAGCTACTTTAAGCTATTCAGCTAGTAAACATTACTGTAAAGAGTACTCGTGAATGAATGATACTAACTATAAAGAAATGTCATAGGAATAATTACTGATCATATCCTAGGTAACACGTGACGTGTCCAAAGACGAGCAAGGAAAGGAAATGAACATAATTCTTAGGAAGTACCATAAACATTTTCTTCTAGAGAAAAAGAGGAAAAAGAGTTCTTTTCAACAAATTTAGAGATGATTCATTTTGGCCCACATTTATTTACTACTGATGTTTTCTGCGCTCTTATCCCACTGTTTAGTGGCATTTTCTGTCTCCTTTCAACAGAAACCTTATCGACCTACACATTCTGCAAAAACTAGCAGAACCCCAACAAAGAAAGAAACAAAAGGAAAATCAGCCAAAATAAATAAATTCAAATCAGCATGAAGCCCAAAAAGAATTACCTGTCCTATAGTTCGTCCACCTTCGACAACTTTCAACATCGAACTCAAGTTCAAAATAGAGAGAACTTTTCGTTCATCGTGCGTATAGTGAACTCTCTTTCTTCGCCTTCATATATTTTGAGGAGCACATTTGTCACAAGTTCCTAAATCTCAAGAGTATTATTGTCTTGACGACTGTATTTTGCGGCTATAGTGGAAAGCCTGTCTCAACTAACTACTAACAAACGAACTCATTGGGGAGCATACAATACAAAACGGGATTTAGAACTTAAAGCCCTTTCTACACCAAGTTACTATAGGTGAGAACCGTAGAGCTTTGGAAAAAATTGTTACAAAGCAAGCAAAGATATCAACAAGATAAGACTTCTTATCTATTTGGACCATGACTACATAGTCTGTTTACTCTTCTACTAAGTATTCCTTGCTAGGAAATTTGCCATATCCCAACCCCGAATAGCTATAGTCCAAGTGAAGTAAGGTAAAAAATTTTATAGTTGTTTTTGTTTGGTTTTTCGTTGCTTTCAATTTCATACGCTGCGTAGGCGTTTGCGCGCCGACAACATACAGATCTGTTCTCCGAAAAATAATCAGAACCTCGTTTTCAGTAGATCAACTTAATCCAAAATATAAACTTTGCCCCGTTTCGATTGGTTTAGGATACAAAAGGAATGTATCGGTATGAGTACATAGATTGCCCCATTTTCCTCAAATTAAGCTACATCTATGTACTCACACCGATACGTTCCTTTTGTATCCTAAACCAATCGAAGCATGGCAAAGTTTATAATTTGGGATTAAGTTAATCTACGAGGAAAAGGGGTTCTGATTATTTTTCGGAGAGCAGATTTGTATGTTGTCGTCGCGCAAACACCTACGCAGCGTATGGAATTGAAAGAAACTAAAAACCAAACAAAAACAACTATAAAAAATTTTAAGTTACTTCACTTGGACTATAGTTATTTGGGGTAAAGAGATATCAAATTTCCTACCAAGGAATAGTTAGTAGAAGCAGTAAACAGACTATATAGCCATGTTCCAAATAGTGCTACACATAAGAATCTTGCTGACATCTTTACTTCCTTTGTAACAATTTTTTCGAAAGCTCTATGGTTCTCACCAATAGTAACTTGTGTAGAAAGGGCTTTAAGTTCTTAATCCCATTTTGTGTTGTCTGCTCCCCAATGGGTTCGTTTGTTAGTAATTAGTTGGGAGAGACTTTCCACTATAGCCGCAAAATACAATCAAGAAGGTGAGAACAGTGTAATGGTCCAAAAACTAAATTATAATGCTCTCAGTAAGGAATGAGCTTGCAGTTTGGAGAGAACATAAACAAAAAAACGTAAAGTCGATCTTAACCTCAGCAGGACAAATAGAGTACTGTAGAGACATAAAAATTGTGGCCAATCAAATGGCGTCACGTGGAAATTAATTTATTAAAAAATCAAGTCATATTTTCTATTTATATTTTAGGAATTCCCATATATTTAATTCCTAATTTAAATAGTTAATTAATTGATATTTTAATATTTTAATTCTTGACCAATCAAATATTGCCAAGTGTCAAATCTTAATTCTTGGTAATAAATCATATGGCATCTAGAAGATCTTGGAAGATCTAAGTAGATCTAAAAGATCTTATGTGAATCATCATGGACCAATCAAATCGCGTCCACGATTCTTAAATTTGGTAGGGTTCTCCATCCTACACCTATAAATAGGGGCTCCCCCTAATGTCAAAAAAACACACATCATATTTCATATTCAAAGTTCAAGAGCTCTAAAGAATTCTCTCGACGAGATTCAAGTGTTCTTGAAGATTCAAAGGCGTTCTTGAAGATTCGAAGCAAGATTCAAGCGCGTTCAACCTCAAGACTGTCGTTCAATCCGTAAACAAGCTGCACAGCCTCCGAATAACGTTAGTAAATTCAAAACCGGCGTAGAGAAGATTCAAGATCTACTTTGCGACGAAGACCAAGGATTCGTGTTCTTCGCGTTCTTGGGATATTTCGACGTTTGATCCGAAATCAAGACGTTGGCCCTCGGATTAACGTTAATTCAAGTCAAATCAAGTCAAGGAGAAGATCAAACCGAAGATTTCGCTCCAAGACTTAAAATTGTTCGTGAGAAGAATCAGAGGAATAATAGAGATTGTAAACCATTATATTTATTTTGATTCAAAAAATTCATTTGAATAATATTTTTCGTGTTTTTAAATTCAATACACGAAATTTGTTGTTACAAGTACGATAAAGAAACCTAAGCTTCCATATAATGAGAAGTGAGAACAGTGTAATGGTCCAAAATTTTCAACAATGATCCATATTTTTTTAAAACATACTTATATTGCCATAGTGACATGGTAAATTACTATCATTTAAAATTTCACGGGGTACAGTTCAGTAACTCAGTAACTCTGGACCAATATACGGAGAGAGTACTATGTAGTATTTTACAACATACCAGTTCATATTGTGAGTTGAACTATGTCGTTCTTGGTACTGCTGCAAAAGCACCTTCTTATACTATGTAGCATTCTGTGACTGATGATATTAGCCATACTTTTGCTGTTGTGGTGCATCTGATAGGGCTTTTGTTTGGAATAATTGTACTGCATCTGAGAGTATAGGCACCTTGGATTTTCAAATGTTGCTGATATTGCTGCTGAAGTAATTGTGGCTGCTGGTAATGGTAAAAACATCTGTACTTGCCTGTATATGTAAATTTCTCACAAATCAAAAGGGGGAAAAGTCCCGTTTTTCATATCATAATCTCAAACCGTACATGTAGATGAATGGACCCATTTATGCAGCTACGTCAGCATGAGTGCAAAACGGGTTCGTCTTAGGTACCCTTACTAACCACTAATAAAAGTGCACTAGGTAAAGAAAGTGTGAATAAATGAAAAAGTAAAAAACACAACTTAGCCTAAGAATGAGAATAACAGAAAAAACCGACAGACGTGAAATAAGAAACAACTGTGAATTTTCTGCTTTCAGTTAGAAGGGGAAAAAAAAGAATAAAAGAGATTATGGGAAAAGAACAAAGTTATTTAATTTTGGAGCTCTACGCCACCATTGATGGAGTTTGCATTTTCTCAGGTCACCAATCAACACTCAGCTACAAAGCTTTCACCTTTTATTCCTACCGATGTTCCTTGACGCGACCAGTGAATAATAATCGGTGCGACAAAATTATTTTTCAAAAAAATAAAGAAAAACATTGAAAAATGTGAGTGAGACATATGGTGGGAAAAATTATTTTAGCAGAAGGATAACTAAATTAAGTAAAATTATCGTTTTGATACTTAACTATATTCGTTTTTTACTTTTGATATCTTAATTATTCACTTAATCAATTTATATACTTTACTAGTGGGTTTTCGGCTGTGCACGCACAGCCAGACCCAATTCAATTCATAATTAAGCATAAATTTTGAGTATTTCATAATTTGCACAGTCAAGCCCAATTAAATCCATAATTAAATGCACAATTTGAATATTTAGTGACCGTACTAAACATAAACTAAAGTGTTACTCTATGATACAATTAGGTTAGAACGTTCCATGATATTATGTTAAAAAACAAAGTGTTACATTTGCACTGAATGATGACAACATTTTAATATTTTCTAGGTTTTATTCCCGCAAAACAACCATGTAAACTCATTGTACTGTTATCAAAACCACTCACATGAGTACCTACATCCTACACGGTACCTTCATTCTACACAGAACATAGACAATGACTAACAAAGAAATAAAGACTCCATGAGAAATTACTGCTAACCAATACGAATAAAATAATTTTTCACTTCATATTTAGTGTCCACCAGAGAAGACCATTTTCCATTGCAATATGCTGTCAACACCAAGTACATAATCTAAGTTAAACATGGAAAATAACATTATGAAACAACCAATAACTCTCAACATATTTAGACAAATGGTACTGTATTTTTTTCGCACAAAGCTACCATATAATTAATCAATCAACTCAGAAAGAACAATTAACCGCCTATTTCGTGATAATCATAAAGGCACAGTGCCATGTAATATCTAAGTTGTATAGTAACTATTTTGTAATATCTAAGCACGATAGCGAGAACCTGGTGAAACTGGAATAGGCTTAATGCAACTTTGCTTGCTTCATTACAATCAGCTTGGATCATCAACCCACTCTTAACAATCTACAAGCATGTAAATAAATTCTCTCCCTATCTACTAAGTTGTCAGCCATCCAAAATCAAAACCACTAAACTTCCTTACTTGAAGATTGCGTCCGACTGTTCACGCGCAGTCGGTTGTAATTGGGAATTTATTCATTCTTTAATTAATTAATTTTTTTTAATTATATTAAAAATAACTCCAATTTAAGTATTATTATATATTTTTGTTTATTAACGATTTTGTATTACATAATACCTTATTTTTTTATGTTTCTTTAAGAAAATGACTAATGTAGCTATGATTGGCGAACCAATAAATTCAGCAAATATACAACATTAGTACATTACTCATTCACGGAAGAAAACATGTTGCAGATGAAATAGCTTAGCATCTCTTCAAAAATGAATAAACAAATTTCCAACACCTTTTTTTCTAGGAGTAATGAGACAGTTGTCATATTGTATGTTCAAAGAGTTAGCAAATTGATTGGAAACTAAATTCTAAATCTCACATCTAGTTAAGCTTCTGTTACAAAAGCAAATTTTTTAGCTAACAATCTAACAAAAATCACTTATGTACTCGATCGAGATTATTTTTCTTCGAACACATAGGAAACATTAATCGTCAATAGTGCTCTTCCCGTATTTTAAAGTTTCAAGTAAGGCCCCTTAATGTCCGACTCTAGGAAAAAGTACTTTCCTTTCACTGCATCTGTCATTGCAATTTCACTTAATTCATAGATGAGTCACATGGGCATCAAATTACCAGTTTCTCAGAGGGTAAAAAATAAAAATTTGTATGAACCTCCCATTTGAATTTTACCACCAGAAAAGGATGATGGAAACAAAAATGTAATATAATAATCAATGAGAAATTATGAAAGAGGATATTGTTACCAGAGCCTTGTCCAAGTTATTGTGTGCCACCTTCACATTTGAAAGTGTATAAAAGAAATGAATCAACAAAAATGGTTCAAAAAAACTATGGGTTTGGGGGATTGGAAAAACAAATAAAAATGATAAGAAAGAACAACCTTTTTCCGTCATGCAACAACAAGCTGGGCATTATTTCGGCATATGCTGCAATCTCTCCAATTGCACTATTCACCTTGTCCTAAGTCAGTCTCTGTTTCATGTACCTTAAAACTTTTGCTACTCTTAGATCTTTAGGATACACTTAAAGCATTTATACAACCCATTCAATCAAGATGCAACTTAAACTTTTGGAACAAAAAAGCAATTCGCTTACAGTGGCACGGAATTAAGCTCGTCTCCAGTGACGTACCACATTGGTTGGGGCCCTCGCCCTTTCTTTTCCTGTCACAGTAAAGCGAAATTTGAAATGTGAAAGTTCTTTACTTTTTCTCAATAGTATTAACATTTTATTTGTAAAACCAATCGAACACATGGGACATTAGAAAGGAAAGGCCAATTATATTGTTTTTAAATTGTTCAAAATAGTAATACAGAACATGGGCGACCAAACAGAATATGCTAACTGGTGGAAAAAAAACATACGTCACTTTCACAATTTGAAAAACACCTGATTTGTTTTCAGTTATCACCTCAAAGTAATTAATGCAGGGTTTGTCTTCTATACAGATTACTAATGTTCTATACCAACTTCTACAGAGAAAAAACTGTAAGATTTCAACAGAAAGCATACTTCGGTGCAGGCTCCCCATGCTTAAAAGTTCAAAGTCTCAAATCCAGGATCTTGCTTACACTCTTCTATATGCACATTGAGGAGAACGATAGGAAAAATGAACAAGTATAATTATTAAACAACAAACAAAAGCGGAATATTTACACCTGATACGTTTTTCAATACAAAAATGGATGCAAAAGGCAACTCATACCCACACTTGGAAAAACAATCACAATCATTATTGACGGTTTCAAAAGAGCATGCTAGAGATAATTTTTAACAAACTATCCAGAAAAAAGGCTAATGAAATTACCTACGTAATCGCCCAAATTTTCATAGAGGGCCTCCAATGCGAGCTAGTTAACACATAACCACCAATGACACGTTACAACAGGTAATATTTCTGATTAGGCAGGCATCCTCATTTTTAAAAAATAATCTGTATAAAAACATTATGTAATTAGTAAAGTAGAATTTCTGAATCATTTAAAGGCACCTCAAAGTGCATATTAATTTAAAGGGTGAAAAACACATCATGTTCCCTGCCAATGTGAAGAACCAAAACAACAAACAGAGTTAATCATGAGTAAGATGCAATATACCAATCACAATTCAAAGTATTCATAATCATATCCATAAAAAAGTTTCCTATTAACGTCTTAGTTAAACAAGAGGTTAAATTATTTGTTTTGGCAAGAAACCTGAAATTATAAGAATAATTGCAGAATGATCATCCATTCACACATTGCCAAAGTGCACACCTAAAACATTTATCAACAAATAAAGTATACTTTTTTCTTTACAAGAAAAGAAGAAAAAATTTAAAATGGAATCTCTAACATCCACAACTTGTATTATCCGAGAGCTCACCTGTCTATTACTCACTTGATGAGGACAGCCAGCAGGAATGAATGCAGCCTCATCAACATGTTGCCCAAATGTCCAAGCTTCAACGTCTAATTCAAAGACAATAATATTTCTTCCTAATTTACTGATTGGAAATTATTTACATACACAATTATGCAGGGATATATAAATAAAATAAAAAAAGCTTACCAAATTCATCCTTCAATTGTTTTTTGTGCTTCTCATCCAAACAAAACACCTAGTCATGGATACGATGCACAGCCTATAGTAAAAGTAGGAAAACCAACAAAAACTCAGTTGTATTTTTTCCTTCGATAAAATAGTCAGCGAGAAAGTACTCACATTATTTACTCGAGAATTATTGTGATGACGAAATTCTTCCCGATGCTTTATCGGATACTCCACGGGCATAAATCAGTTTTCCCTGGAAATGATAAAGCCAAAATTATAAGAACCAAAGGCAAACAATGTCACGAATTTGAAAGCAACATCTAAGGTATTAAACAGAGAACCTCACGAAATAGGTACAAAGGCAAAATTAGAGGAAGATTTTGGCACTCCATTGTTTTACGCAGAAGAAAAAAATAAAAGACCAGAGAATCTCCTCCCATCAATGTACAACTAAGCAGCGGCTATTTTCGGCTCGAAATTTTAAGTCCTCCGACTCCCATCACCTACACTGACCCCATCATGCAATCTTCAGTCTATCAAGCCACTCATGACAAATAACATAAACCCCATATGACGAATCAGATGAAAATTAAATTTGCAATTCGAAGGTGCGGATGCTAACTGTGTTGGCAAAATTCAAAATTGATAAACCTGAAATATAAATTTGAGCGATGTATAAACAATTTGGGGTAGAAAAGGCAAGAACAACTTACAGCACCGTGACTCATTTCATGAAACGACATCAGCAGTCCGAAGTTCATGTCCCTGCTCCTTCGCGACTAACAAAACCCTAGCTGCTGGAAAGTAGACGCCATGGGGCAGATGACTTCATCGCACATCAATTGTAGAGACGCTCACTGCTCTCCGTTATCGGGCCGTACAAAAGCAGACGACTACTGGTGCATACCTTCTCCAATATACAATGATATTTAAAAAAAAAAATCAAAAGCCAACGAAATGTGTTGGAGGTGAGAGCGAAAAAACAGAGGAAAAATAAAAGTGTTAATACCACTTAATAGCCATATAAATTTACAAAAGATAAATTTTAGCCATGTTTTGATAAAAACATCTTTTTTAGCCATTTTGACATGTGAAAATACAAAATTACCCCAATCCAATTTAATATCACAATTCACTTTCACTTCCCCCAAATTCATCTATTCACCTCACAATTCATTTTCACTTTCACAATTAATCGTGCCTCCAAAAGAAAAAGAAAAAAATTCCTTTCAGCTAAATTGAAAAAAAAAAAAAAACTTTCCTCATCGGCTCGAAAAATCCCATTGAGCAGAAAAATCTCTTTCACTTTCGCACGACCTCGCCGGCTCAACCTCCGTACGACCTCCGATCTCCGCAGACGACTTCGTCGGCTCCGCACGACCTCCGACATCGTCCTGTGGCCACCTCGCCGGCTCTGCACGACCTCGCCGGCTCTGCTCGACCTCGCCGTTCCTCTGCAGCTTCTCACCGATGAAAAATTGACCGTGCCTCTATTTTCTCATCTCTTATCCGGCCTCTGAAATCAGGTAATTAGGGTTCTTGTCCTTTAATATTTTTGTTCGAATTAGGGTTCTTGACCTTAAATTTTTTATTCGAGTTAGGGTTTTTTTGTTCGGATCTGGCCTCTGGTGCTTGGTTTGAATTAGGGTTCATGAGGATTACTCTTTTTTGCATTTGTTTCTTGTTGATGCGGGTGATGTTTTCAGGAAAAAGCGTCTTTACGGGTGGAAGCTCGTCATTGTCGGCGTCCGGTAAAAGAATTGTAGCTTCTTCAAGTGTAAAGAGGTTCATGTTTTTGCCCTTTTCCTTTTTTTTTTTTTTTTTTCTTTCCTCTTTTCGAGCTTTGGGCTCTGGATGTGTTGTTTGGATGTTGTTGGGTTTGGTTTATTTTATTTTTTTATTTGTCATTTTTGCTGGGGTTTGTTGTTGGTGTTTGAGTTTCAGCTTTGGGCTCTGGATGTTGTTGGGTTTGGTTTTTTTTTTTTTTTATTTGTCATTTTTGCTGAGGTTTGTTGTTGGTGCTTGAGTTTCTGCAGTTGTTTGGCTGTTACTAAATGTGATGTTTTTGGGAATTTTTGTTTTTAGTTAGTTCGTAGAGGTATCTAGTGTTTGAGCATAACAATGTCATTTCTACGCATATTTAGCATCCTTTTTTTTATGGTTTGTAGTCTAAGTTCTAGTGTTGGATATATTATTTTGTTATTGGCTTTTACATCACCAAATATATATTACTTCTTGAATGGCATTTTACGTAGTGTTGAAGTTGGACATTTACCCTTCATATAACTTGATGACCATTAACTATATAGCTTACAGTTATGTAATTCATCCAGGTTAAGAACTGAAGTTCTGAGCAAGTATTGCCTATCTAGATCTTTGAGTTTTGAATATGATTGATTACAAAAAAGATCCGTGAAGTGTCGTTCCAACAACAAAGTATATTTTTCATAATTACAAATCCCCCTTTACATGCATTTTTCATAAATTGTGTCCCTCCATTGGTTTTCTTCTAATGATATCATGGTTATGTCGATAAATATTGGGAATTTTATTATTTTTTTTTTGGTTTGTTCAAACCTCACCAATTTATACTTACATTTTAAAACCAAGATTTGTTTCTTTCATTTATTTGTAGAAAACCCGTCAAATCCATAGCATCATTCTTGAAAAGATGTCTGCCCCGTGTAACTAATGATTAATCCCCGTATTTCTGTAATGCCATATCTAAGTAGATTTTTTCTTTGTAAATGCCATATCTAATTGTAACTGACAGCAGATTTTATAATTGGAGTAGGACAATTAAACTGCTCTTGATAATTTTTCTCGGATTAGAAGTTTTAATAATTATGTTCGTTTTGATATTAATTTACTTATTCTGATTCGCTTTTGTTATTAGCTCTTTCTTGCATTTCATTTGAACATGACAATTTTCCCACTTTTCTACAACATGAATAATACCCAATTTGGACTTCACAACAACTTTTAGTAATTGTGTTTTATAGTAATTGTATTTCTACTCTTGTTAATTTTTCTTGGATTAGGAGTTTGAATAATTATGTTGATTTTCATATTAATTTGCATGTTCTGATTAATTTTTCAAGCTCTTGCACATGTACAGGTTATTAAAGCTCTTGCACATGTACATGTACTTGTTACATTTATAACATTTATAACATTTATAACATGTTGGTTTGTAACTTCGGATGACAGGTTATTTTGGTATGTAATGTTGACGAGCATTGGGTGGTGTGCCGGGTACGGTTAGTGGACTGGGAGATCGAGCTTTACGACTTCTTTAGCCACCTTTCATCATCGAAGGCGTGTAATGACCGAGAGCTTATGTTGACCCCTCTCCGACGACTACTTCCCACACTACTTCACCGGTCCGGTTACTTTGAAACTATGAATATTCCACCCAAGTTAGATGTCTTATCAATTAAGAGAATGCCGAGTGAAGTTCAGTTTGGATACCCATAATTGTGGTGTATTTGCTTGCATGTACGTTGAACGCATGCTTGGTGAAGAAATTCCCAGCCAGACATAAGTTTATATAGACAGAAAATGGCATTAGCAATTTATGCTCATAGTATTCCCGTGTCGAAGTAGTGTCATTTTTTTGGTGCTTTGGTTGTGTATTGCTATTGCCAATTGTAGTGTATTTGATATTTTGACAATTGTGGTCTTTTTGTGGTCTCATAGTACTTTTGTTGACGAGCATTGGGTTTGTGTTGTTAAACAATATAGCTCTGTTCTTCTCTGCGATTCGCGAACAAATCCCGCTAGTCGCGACCCTGGGAAGCTTGTAGCCTGTATTCTGTTCTTCATTGTGACTCGTGAGTTCCTCCGTGAGTCGCGAAAAAAAATGCATCATTTAAAACAATTACTCCGTGAGTCGCGAAAAAAAAAATGCATCATTTAAAACAATTACTGAGTCGCGAAAAAAAAAATGCATCATTTAAAACAATTACCAATTCGAACAAGTAAAGAAAGGTTGTTTTCTGTGTAAGTATTTGATATTTACTTGAACAAATATGCATATAGTACAGAATGCATGATAAATCATTTTATCATGCAATGCTGAACTTTGTATTAGCTTCAAATAACAAAAAAAAGTACAGGTATCTCCACCAACAATGTCATAAACTCTATTTAAAAAGTTTTCATACGAAGCGGTACGTTCAAATAACTTTCGAATATTTTGGCGTAAGTGGTACGTGCAAATAACATGAGTTGCTTCGGAGTAAACAACCTCCAAAGCCGACTTGATGCTTGGGTGTTGATCAGAAACAATGACCAAGTTTTCGGGACATCCGAATACATTACGAAGCGCATGTAGAAACCACGCCCAAGCATTGTGCTCTTCCATGTCACCTATACCAAAAGCCAATGGAAATATCTGCTCATTTCCATCTTTTGTTGTTGCTACGAACAGAATGCCTTTATATTGACCCTTCAAATGAGTACCATCAACCACAATCACAGGGCGACAATAATTAATGAATCCGTTGGAGGCATGTAAGGCAAAGAATGCGTACTTGAACATGTCATCGTCATTTGTCTCATAGCATGTGGTGGTTCCAGGATTTTCTCTCATCAACATATGAAAATATCCAGGAAAAAGTTCCCAAGATTTATTATGATCTCCATAAACGAAGTCATACACGACATTATGAGACTTTAGTGCTTTATTGTATTTGAGCGTAATACCATGATCACGCTCTAGAAATTATTCCCAATAATTAGTAATTAAGCAATCAATGTTTAATAAAACAAATAAAATTTGAAATAGAAATGATTTTACATAAATGGTTTATACGATTCGAAAACAGATTTCTGGGACCAGAAATGACGTTTCTGGGACTTGAAATGACGTTTCTGGAACCAGAAATCGATTTCTGGACCCAGAAATCGATTTCTGGATCTTCTGATTTCTGGTCCTAGAAATCGATTCCTGGAGCGAGAAAAATATTTCTGGGGTACATCATTGGCTAGAAATCGATTTTTGGATCTTCTGATTTCTGGTCCCAGAAATCGATTTCTGGGCCCATAAAAAATATTTCTGGGGTACATCATTGGCTATAAATCAATTTCTTTCTGAGACCAGAAATACCAGAAACCAATTTCTGGATCTTCTCGTTTCTTGGACCATAAATCGGTTTTCTGGGTCCAGAAATCGATTTCTTGGTCATTTCTGGAGACAGAAATCGATTTCTGGTCCCAGAAATCGATTTCTTGGATTTCTGGTCACAGAGATCGATTTCTGGATCTTCATGTTTCTGGGACCATAAATCGGTTTTTTGGGTCCAGAAATCGATTTCTGGATCTTCATGTTTCTGGGACCATAAATCGGTTTTTTGGTTCCAGAAATCGATTTCTTGGTCCAGAAAGTAAAGAAATCGATTTCATGGTCATTTATGGAGACAGAAATCGATTTCTGGAACAAGAAACCAGAAATCGCATAAATCAATTTCTTGCACCAGAAATCGATTTCTGTGACCAGAAATCTATTTCTGGAACCAGAAACCATAGAAATCGATTTCTGCGATTCTGAATGATTTCTGGACCAGAAATCATTCAATGTTCAAGAAATTATTCATGCCCACAGAAATCTTTTTTTTTTTTACCAATATTCATGTTATTAATTTGAATACTATGTATGATAGCAATTAACAAAAAAGAGAAATTATAGACATACTTTTACACTATTATTTTCGATTTATCACCGTAATGTGGCCGGAATTTTTGTAATATGGAGGGAGAGTGATTTTTTATTTTTTTTATGAGAATGTTTTTTTTTTAGATGAGAGATAAAATTCAAAATGTAGGAGTGAATGTCATAGGAAGAAAACACGGATGAGAAAAATGATGAAGTTGTGCATTTTTGTCATTTAAATTAACAATTTTTTATTTCCTTTAAAAAAATAGATAGTAAGGTCAAATTTGTCATTTTAAGTGTCAAAATGGCTAAAAAAGATGCTTTTACCAAACTATGGCTAAAATTTGTGTTTCACAATTGAAAATGGCCAAAAAAAAAATTCACTGAAAATAAAAGGCTCAAAAAAATTTCAGAAGGTGATAAGAATGGGCAAAAAGTTTAAAGCAAACACTGTACCCAGATTTCCTGTGAAAAAAGATCTCTCAAACAGTAGCTACCAAGGCCACAAAATCGTGTCGTACGATTACCGTCACCAGATTTTCCCTGCACTCCAATAATTTTATAGTGTAAAAGCAATGGCAGTGGTCGTAAAAATAGCAGAAAATGGAGAGCAATTATGTTTGCAAAAAAAACGCCACGTGTCGGAATACCAGATTTAGTTGCATTTATAGCGGTAGTAACAGAGTAGGATTTGAGTACATTGGTGATTAAAATACGTATTTTTGTGGTACTGAAGAGCTTAGGCCATACATCAAAGTTTTCTTTGTAAAACAAAAAAATAAAAACTTCAAAAGATTACCAACTGAATCCACTAAATCATGACTTCTGTACTTTTGGTAAAATGAGTGAGGGTTGATATGCAGAATTTGAGGAGCTCCTGGAGAAGAAACAGTGTAGATTTAACTTTTTGGTAAAGTGCCCCTACTCTGTTGATGTAAAATTTTTCCCACCTAATGTCACTCTTGCCTAACGTCCTAAATTCAAATTCAGCCCACCATGTGACCTCAGGCTCTACGGTGTCGATAGGCTGTAGGGTACCACCGGAAATTTAACTGTGTAGAACACTGCTAGTCTTCATGATAGTCAGAGGCATGGGCAGACGTTGAATGCACTGTTATAGATTGTTACCGTTGAA